ATGAGCTGGTAATTGACCAGGTTGGATTTGTCCTCCTTTTTGTGTACAGGCCGTACTTGGACAATTTTTCACATCGTTGGGTAGATGCCACTGTTGTGACTGGATTGGAACAGCTTGGCTCGGGGAACAGCAAGCTCTGGAGCACAAGCATCAGTACTATTGCCAGAATGTTGTATACAAACATGGACAGGGAATTGTCACTGTTTTTTTTATTCTCATGGAGGATGTGAGTGTCGTTGGGTGGCCAGGATTTATTGCCCATTCTCAGCTCACCACCACATTTTAAGGGCAACTAGGGATGGACAATCAATGCTGGCCAGCCAGTGATGCCCACGTTTCACAAGAGAAGAAAACAAAGTCTAAAAATTCAATTTAAGAGCAAGTGGAAATTTAATAGAAAAAGACATGGAAGCTGATTAACTTATGAAATAGCATTTATTGAAATAATATACATAAATGTACTTGCTAAATTCCCATACAATGCTCACTGAACGAATCTTTAAAAGAAAACATTTTTCTTCTCTTCCTATAACTCTGCTTACTTATCGCACTCCAAACCTTTCTGTTTCTCTTTATGTTTTCAACTTCTCCCTCCCTTTATGTCTGAAATACTTCGATTGTTGTTCCTAAACTCTTTCTCATTTTCATTTTCCTTCTGGTGCTATAATCACAATTATGTTACTGCTGCACATGTCAAATCCCAATGTGAAGTCTTGCTTGATGGATCATTATTAAAAAAAAGACCTAATGGCGTTTCACTGAAACATGAGCACACTGCAGCTTTGATTTTAATAATAAAACAGAAGTTTATTACACAAAAGAAATAAAAATGAGACAAACCAAACCATCTACATATACCACAGTTTGAAAGATTTTAGAACTTCAAGGAAAACAAAGTCCCATCTCTTTCTAAATGTCATATTACAGTTGCTCAAAAATTCAGAGAAATTCCTTCTATACCAAATCTTTTGATTTGACTTATCTGTTTCTTTTCAATTCTGGTTCTGTGTGCTGTGAATCTTTTCCCTCAACCATTTACCCTACTGAGAATTTAGACTTTGTTGGTCTTTTAATAAGCTGCAGAATTCTAACCAAGCACCTTTGATCAGCATGTTTCAAAACTGTGGAAAATTATTTCTTTAATTGCTCTGAACAGTCTTCTTTCCCTAAAAGAGGATATTCTGTGATTGCTACTTGCACCAGTCAGGTCTCTTTTGAAACGTCTATAAGTATTTGAATTAAATTATTAGAAAAACTTGCTCATCCTAGTCCATGTTAATCTCAATGTTTCCTCTTTCTGGTGATAAACCATCACACTATAAACAAACTTTCAGTAACAGTCCCAGAGTCACATACTAGTTTAAAATCATAATTCCGGAAAGCCTGACCTAGTGACTTTTTTGAAAATAATCCAACACTCATTTGTGAGTTTAAAGTCCAAAATCTAAAATGGTTGCCCTTCTAGAGGAAGGATGTTGTTAAACCAGAGAGTTATGCAGAAACGATTTACAATGATGTTGCCAGGACTGGAGGGTTTGAGTTATAGGGAGAGGCTGAATAGGCTGGGGCTTTTTTCCCTGGAGTGTTGGAGGTTGAGGAATTACCTTGCAAAGGTTTATAAAATCATGAGGGGCATAGATAAGGTGAATAGCCAAGGTCTTTTCCCTAGAGTCAGGGAGTTCAAAACCAGACAGCATAAGTTTAAGGTGAGAGGGGAAAGGTTTAAAAAAGACCTGAGGTAACATTTTCATGCACAGGGTGGTGCGTATGTGGAATGAGCTACCAGAGGAAGTGGCCGAGGAAGGCACAATTACAACATTTAAAAGGCATCTGAATGGGTGCGTAAATATGAAGGGCTAAGAGAAAGATGGACCAAATGCTGGCAAATGGTATTAGGTCAGATTGGGATGTCTGGTTGGTGTGGACGAGTTGGACCGAAGGGTCTATTTCCATGCTGTATGACACTATGACTATATATACATCACACACTTTTCATCACATTAGTAAGTCTCTCCTATGCATTTTTTCTCTCTCCTTTATTAATATCTCTCTCATAAAGATGCCCTTGTTACCTTCTGGATTTACAAGTTTAATATCTGGGACAGGTTTCCTGCATTCCAGAATTTTATACTGTTCATAAGAATTGTTACTGAAGCAGTAACCCCAACTGAAATGAGCTAATATAAAACTGTGATTAAAATGAAATTATTTCCTGAGTCTGTAAAGCCAAGTGTCAAGGTCAGATTTGTTATTTAGTATAGTGTCAGACTGGTGGAAAAGTTATGATGGAAAATGACAGCGTGCTTGACAGCTGCAAAACCTGCTTGCCAGTTTATGTGCAAATCATGCTTCCTTACATTTTATAATTACTACTCTTATGCCAGACTGTAGACACACACACTTAACAAAAGAGTAACTATTTTGCAGTGTTATCAATATGGTAGTATATATGTCAATAATCTCAAGTCATATTATATGTAACTCAACATATCTCATTGGATTCTAGGTGTATCCATGTATCATACCCTATAGCTACAGATTAAGTTGTGAGCACGTTCATTGTTCAACAAATAAAGAATAAGGTAAAGTTCTTGCACCGTCTCTGGAAGCATACCATAACATTTTTTTCTGCTGTTTTACAAATGAATGTCTGGCAAATTTAAATCCCTGTGAAAAGTATTCTTCCCAGTCTGCAGTCCTCTCTGTTCGGCCTCTTCCTTGTCCAGGAACAAGTATATCCTTCAAAACAAAAGATTGCATTTGTGTGGTGCCTGTGTTGTAGACAATCATTCCAGGTGTTTCAGATTTTTTTTTAAATGGACATCAAGTCAAAACAGGAAAGTGAATAATAAAGTATATATGCAATGTTGTCTTTTTACTGCGTCACTGCAAAAAAATAGCATTACACACAACCAGGGTGACTTGGGAAAAAATATAAGCATTACTGTTGGGCCTCTCGGGTGAAATAAAGTCATCAAAAGAGGAGGCTGACCAAAAAGCTTCCACAAAGAGGCAGATTTTAAGGATGACCTTAAAGAAAATTTGTGTAAAATGGGATGGAATCCCAGCACACTGGGTCACCAGTGGTAGAGTCAATGGGGATGTGGGAAGAGGAAGTGAGGGGGAGCAGCAGATTCAGAGTAAGGATTCTGCTGGAGAAGATCACAGTGACAGGGAAGGTAAGAACATTGAAACTTAATGCAAAAAAAGAGGATTTTTAATGTTCTGATTTTGACCTCAGTCCACAATCAGTGGAGAATGTATGAACATTATAGTACAAGTTTCAACAGATACAATGTTCCCTTTTCTACATTTCGCCATTTATCTGTTTTCTTCTGCGATTTCTTTCTATATACTTTAGGTATTAGTGTTTATTTCAATCTCCAATATCCTGGATTATCCGATTCTATGTGATCCCTAATACAGTCTATTCTTCCTCCATAGGTTCTTTTGCTGTGCTTCAGGTCTGACCAAAGCTACACCACCTGAAACATCAATTCTGTTTCTCTCTCCACAGATGCTGCTTGATCTGGGTACTTTCAGTAAAGTTTCCAGCATCCTCAGTATTTTTTATTTAACTTTCAAAAGCACCCGACATTCATACAGACTCCCCCTTTCCACCCCGTGAACGAAAATGGGACACACTGGTCAATACTGGTGACTAGTTCCGGACAAGAGTTATCTCCATCCCGAAAGTTAACTGTTTCTCTCTGTGTGGATGCTCCCAGAATTTCTGGCTTCCTCCAGCACCTTCTGTTTTCATTTTGTTTTTATGTCATCTTGGTGACTAATCTACATGCCAAAGCCTGTTAAAATGCATCCCATGATTTTTGTTCCATCCCTGTTTTTGCCCCGAACTGTAGCTGTTACATTTCCAATGTTCTGTCATTCAATCGCGGATATCTCTTGTATTTCTATTGACAGGAGAAACCAATTGGACATCGTGAGACAACACGTTTCCTGTTGCCGGAGCCATACTGCTAATTTAATAATGAACGGAGCTTTTCCCATTAATTATAATAATAATCACGGCTGCAACATCATATTATTCCCAAAATAATTTTGTCTTCCAGCAAAACCAATAACAGACCTCTCCTCGCATTTTGCAAGATGAAATTCAATGGAGAAAGAATTATTCAACAGTGTTAGAACTCATTGCGCCAGAAGCTTGATTTTTCGATCTTTGTCATATGATTGATCAATATCCTTTCCTGGTGAAGGGAAATACATGCTCGCCTTTTCAAGGACCGTGCAACGGCGTGTTTCGATAATGAGGGTGCACGAAAATGACACTTATTTGCGATTTATTCCTCACACGTATGCAACCATTCTGTTCCCAACTACATGGTTAGAAATTAGAAATTGCTTTTGTTTCGATAAAAGCTCCTGTGAGACGCCGTGGAACGTTTCACTACTTTGAAAGCTTCATATAAATGCAAACAGTTGTCGTACGCACAATTATTAAAATGAGGTTGCCTTTATATATGTATAAAACATAACAAGGTGTAACGACAGTTCTCAGGCGCAAAGCCATATATTGCCAGACTGGAATAATAATCCCAAGCAATGATCGCTGTGAGAAACAACTATTGGCATGACAGGTCCTTGGTAGTGCGTATTTTAAGTATCTTTGAGCCAATAGCATTTTGCCCCACCTTAACCATGACTGGTTCGGAGGAGCATTAAGATGGATCAGGGCCGTTTTCTAGCACATTGCACTGTACGTGATCTCATCAGTGTGTGTGTGTGTGCTGAGATTTGACGCTGGGTTTTCAGCCTGTGCTGGGCTCTGCGGTGGAGTAAAGTCTGAGACGAGAGAGGGAGAGGTGCTGAGTGGCGTGCCGCATTAGCACGGACACACACACGGCACCCAAACATCCTCTCCTCTCTTGCAGCTCACGACAAGGTCCATTCCCTTCCTCCTTACCCACACACAAAACACCCACCTTCTCCTTTTCCCGCCCAGTCGGGGCGGTCGGGGGGGCGCGTAAGACTGAGTGAAGGCAGAAAAGGAAACAACGACAAAAAAGAACAATGCGTGCACCGGCACTGAATGCGTGAAGCGACAAAAAAAAACACCCTGAAAGGAACCACAACGTGACAGAGCGAGTGAAAGCCGGGAAAGCGATCCCAGCGTATTGCGTTTCAAAACAGCAGCAGATTGAGAGAAGAAGATGGCTTCTCCCTCCTCCTCCACCGCCTCCTCCCCGCATGGGGGCGGGACTTCACCAAACCCGCCAGACCGCATTCGCCAGGTGGGTGCAAAATATTGCAAAAGATGACTTTTGGTACTTTGTTTTTATTTTAAATATATAAAAAAGGAGAGAGATCTCCAAACCAGTGTGTCGGACTATTACAGAACAGCCCGGCCTCACGGAAGAGCCTCCCACTTGATGTGCTGAGGGAGGCTGACATTCAAGACGTTGCCTTGGTTACTAAAACCTTTAGGGCACTCCATCACTAATATATGGGCAGAAATAAAAGGATATACAGAAAATGCTGGCTTCAGGTTTAGCCCCAGATGGCTTATGTTTTCCTTTAGCCCTTTAGTGGACGTGAGAAGTGCCAGTCAGTGGCATGAATCTGTACAGACTGAAGCAGGTGCCGATTTTCACTGGCTTCGGGCTGTAACTGTTGACCTCCCTGTTCAGACATACACACACAGCGTGGAATAGTAGTAAAAAACAATGTTATTCCTCAGTTCAAATTGTTATTGTGCAATATTGAATACGGGTTTCAGAAGATGCTGTAAGATAATTTTTTGGTCTGCGAGAATTTTTTTTAAAAAAATCTACAAATGACAATTTGGTCTAACTGCAGTGTTTTTTTAAAATCAGAATTCACGTTCTGAAATTATTTCTGACCCCGTTGACGGGAACGGGATTGGCAGACAGAGTATAACGTGGGAAAGTGCGAGGCTGTTTACTTTGGCAGGAAGGATAGTAAAGTAGAATAATACTTAAAATGGAGAGGGACTGCAGAGTGCTGCAGTACAGAGGGATCTTAGTGTCCTTGTACTTGACAGTAATTGGGAAGGCAAATGGGACGTTGGCCTTCATTGGAAGGGGCATGGAGTATAAAATAGGAAAGTCTTGCTGCAGCTGTGCACGTGAGACCACATCTAGTGTAGTGTGTATAGTTTTGTTCTCCGTTCTTAGAAAAGATATTCTTGCCTGAGAACACTTTAGAATCAGCTGATTTGTGGGATGAAGAAGCTTTATGAAGAAAGGTTAGGCAAATTGGACATATATTCAGGAATTTGGAAGAATGAGGTGATGATGTTGAAACACGTAAAGTTGTGAGGGGCTTTGACAGGGTAGATACTGGGCAGATGTTTCTCCTCATGGATGAATTTAAAACTGGGGACACAGTTTAAAAATAATGGGTTTCCATTGAAAGCCGAGAGTAAGAGATTAATTTTTTTTTCTCGCAGCTGATCACCTTTGGAATTCTCTTCCACAGAGAGAGCAGTGGAGACATGGTCATATATATATATGTTCAAGGCTGCGTTAGATTTTTGATTGACAAGGGAGTGTTGGGGATGGGGGGTTGTTGGAAACAGGCAGGAAAGTGGACTTAAGGCCATCGTCTGATCAGCCATGACCTTTTCCAATGGGACAGCAGGCTCAGGGGATCGAATGGCTTATTCCCACCCTTAGCGCGTCCTCCTCATCTTCCCACCCCATTCCGTTTTCCGTTAGTTTACTTGAGAGCTGGGTGCAAAATGGGAAGATGTTGTGAGGCTTGTGATTTAGTTCTGATTCTTTCACCATGTATCCCCTATTTCCTCTGATATGTGATTATTTAGCAGAGTGAACATCTGATAGGTGACAGCAAGCGACAGATTCAGTAATGTTTAGATGTTGGATACTCTGCGTAAATCCAGCTATGACGTTCTTGTGTACGACTGATTTCCTCTCACTCTTTCTTTGCTCCTGCAAATACCACGATAGAAAGTACGTTTCCACTCCGATCCTCGTCTGCACCGCCCAGCGACCTCGAAAGGTACCGACAAATGCCTCTTCGCCGCAATCTTTGTCAGTGACTGATACAGTTGCTTGGAACGACTTTTCTCAGTCCGATTGATTATTGTGTCTGGGGTTTTGACAGTTTCATGACTGAACCTCGGGACAGGATCATGACATAAAAACACCTGATCTCAGTTAGTTAAGGATGTGGGCCACTGTTACCGCATGTGATCAGTGCAGGACAAAACAGTCTCACAGCTTTGTTTTAAAAACAAAGTAAATAAACGTGGAGAGATGCACAATCTTGTTCAGTGCCTTAATCACAAAGCTTTGAGTCTCAGGGGTATATAATCTTATATATAATAATGATCCTGATAGCCTTCTCGAATGAGTTTGTCAATTTGTGTGAAAGTAAGGTGGGGTTTGCGGCCTGGACCCGTGTCCTTGAATAATAGATGAAAACTGTTCAAGCATTTCTCCTCGGAGATAGCAAAAACTGCTGGAGTCAGAGACAACACAGTGTAGAGCTAGAGGAGCACAGCATTTCTCCTATCGCTGTTACAAGTGACAAATGGGAAGAGACATGCCAGACACTTTGGTCCAGCCCGACACAGTTTAGTACTGTTCCACACAATCGAGTAATTTGTGTTGTTAAAATACAGAAATGTGGGTTCTTCTTCGAAATTACAATTTTGGTACAGATTATTACCTGTTGTATGAATTGGATTGGCTATGCTTGATGAAGACTGGAATTTAATGTAGCGCGAGAAGAAATATGAAGTGGTTTCACAGCATTGAAAATAGAAAAATCGTCAGACCTAGATGAATGTATCTCAGATTATTCAGGGAAAGAAGGGAGGAAATTGCAGCTCTGACAATCATTTTCCAAATCCATTTTACTACAAGTAGCGCTGGAACGATTGCTAACATTATATTGTTTAAATGGTGAAAGCAGGATATGCTAGTAATTGCAAATCTGTCAACCTAACTTGGGTGGTTGGCAAAGTATTGGAAACATAGTTGTAGAGTAGTATTAAGTGTTAATTGGGTTAACCAAGGAGAGTCACCAAGGATATATGATTGGTGGAATGTTTTGAAGAGGTGAAATGAAAGATGGATGAGCCGAATGCATTTAAATTGAACAATGTTTTTGACTGCATGGTCAGTAATGGCAATTAGAAGCAAAAGCTTTTGTTAAAGTTTGTTTTTATGGTAAAGCAAAAGCCTTGTTAAATTATAAAGGGGGGAGGGTTTGAGGGATGGTGGTGGTGGTCAAACTATCTATTCATAATGTAAGTCAACAGCCTGAAATAGTCACAGTCGCAAAATTGTATGTAACTGACACCATTATCACCACCCCTGGTACTGCCCTGCTCCACTGGCACGATAGGCCTAGCAGAGGTTGCAACATAGTGGTATACAGTCAGGCAACAGATGCCTTGGGAGTCCTCAGCGTTGATTCTGAACATCATGAAGTTTCATGGTACTAGGTCAAATATGGCAAAGAAGCCTCCTTCTGGTTACCACATACTGACCTGTCTTGCCTGCTGAATCAGTACTCTTCCATGTTGATCAATACTTAGAGGACATGATGTGGAGGTGCCAGTAATCGACTGACATGGACAAGGTCAAAAATCACACAACACCAGGTTATAGTCCAACAGGTTTATTTGAAAACACAAGCTTTCAAAGCCTCAGTCATTCTGCAGGTGTCAGTGAGAGAAGTGGCATCAGACATAGAATTTATATTCAAAAGGTCAAAGGGTCATAGAACTGATGCAGATGCATTGAACAAACCTAGGGTGGCTGTTAAATCTTTAATCAGTTAGAAAGGATTAATATGTAAATCCCAGGATTTCTTTCAAGTCACTTACCCGAGATAACTAAAAGTATAACAGAAGTGATATCTCAGGTCAGACAATGTATTTTCGGTTTGAGGCCTTGTTTAGAATCTGGCTGTGTTTAACTTGGAGTCAGACATTGACTGTCCATAAATTGTGTGCTTTTTGAACAAAGTAGAATGTATCTGCAATTACAAATCTGCAAATGCAAATTCACCCATAGGTGTGTGTGTGTGTGTGTGTGTGTGTGTGTGTGTGTGTCTATATCTCATACGCTGCAGGCAAGGATGCCCTGAGGCATGGTATATTGGCAAAACCATGCAGACGCTACGACAACAGATGAATGGCCACTGTGCAACAATCGCCAGACAGGGATGTGTCCTCCCAGTGGCACAACACTTCAGCAGTCAAGGACATTCGGCGTCGAATCTACAGGTAAATGTCCTCCAAGGCAGACTTGAGATACACAACAATGCAGAGTCGCTGAGCAGAGGCTGATAGCCAAGTGTGGTACCCATGAGGACGGCCTCATCCAGGATCTTGGGTTCATATCGCACTAGAGGTGACCCCACCACACTATATACTCTCACACACACACACTCACGCACATACTCACACACTCACACAGACTCTCTCTCATACACACACTGTCTCTTTCCCCCACACACAAACACACATACACACACACACACACATGCGCTCTCTCCCACACACACACATACACACACACACACATACACTTTCTCCCTCTCTCTCACATGCACGCACGCACGCACACACAGACAAACATACTCTCTATCTTCCTCCCTCTCTCTCTCTCACGCGCGCGCACACACACACACACACACACACACACACACACACATATAAATCCTATGGGGTGAATTTGCATTTGCAGATATGTAATTGCAAATACATTCTATTTTGTTCAAAAAGCACACAATTTGTAGACAGTCAATGTGGCATTTTATAAATTCCTACTTTCTGATTCCAAGTTAATACACAGCCAGAATGTAAACAAGATTCTCACACCTAAAATGCATTATCTGATTTGAGATGTTACCTCTGCTATACTGATAAAACTTTTAGTTATCTCGGGTCAGTGTCTTGAAAGAAATTTTGGAGTTTACATATTAATCTTTTCTAACTGATTAAAGATTTAACAGCCATCTTAGATTTGTTCAATGCATTTGCATCAGTTCTATGACCCTTTGATCTTTTGTCTATAAATTCTATGTCTGATGCCACTTGTCTCACTGACACCTGAAGAAGGAGTGAGACTCTGAAAGCTTGTGTCTTCAAATAAACCTGTTGGACTATAACTTGGTGTTGTGTAATTAATACTTGGAGGAAGCAGTAAGGGTGGAAAGGACACAGAATGCCCTTTCATGTCGCACTACGGGTGGGTGGGGTATTTCAGTGTCTACCACCAAATGACTTGGCAGC